ATACTAGGATTTAGCATTTTGAAACTACACTGCCCAATCTCCTTTTTTCTCCTCCAACAAAAGTAGCCTAGTCTGCAATAACTGTGACCTTTATTTTCTTCTGAATATTTTAAATGCTGCTTGTTACCTCTGCCTGCTTGGAACTGGATTAATGTTTCTGTGGCGTTCTGGAGGCAGAGAGAAGGATCAGGGCTTTAATTCCTGACACCTCTAAGTGGAATAACAAGTGACATGTATTTTCTCTCTTCACATGGCTCTGCATGAAGGACACATGTGAGTGTGTATATGTGTGTGTATATGTACAGATATATATATATATACACACGCACACACATCTGCACATGCTTAAGGCGCAAGTAAATTGCCATATTGCATGAAGGTGTTTTTCTCTTTTTCTCTCTCCTTGAAGGTTTTGACTTTTAAAGAAATCAACTGGCAGATGATCAGAATAGAAGCAGATGCAATCCAGAGTTCTAAGCATGAAATCATGAGTGCTCCAGTGCGACTGATTACTAACCAATCAAAAATAAGGGTCACACTTAAAAGAAGGGTAAGCTTGAAACTTTTGAAATCTTTTATTATTTTATTAATTCACTTTTCACTCATGCTCTTAATGCGTACACGCACATAGTAAAATTTTAAGTTTAGGCCATATAAAATGTAGAATTCCCTGAATTAAATTTGTAATAACATAGAATTGGTAAGACTGTAGAGTTTACAAGAAATATTGTGGGCAGAATTTGAAGATGAAGGCCTTGCACAGGTTCTACTAATGTAAGCGTTTGACCTGCAGAGCTTTATTTATGATGCATGTTGTCTTACCTCTAGATTCAGGCAATATTTACATTACTTACATTTAGAGAAATGCATCAGTTTAATATCCAGTACATGCCAAACAAATAGAAAGTGAGGCACAGAAACACCTATGTCATAAGTATTTTTTAGTTAATGAGAGGAATGCAATTTTACATAAAATATATGTTTGTTATTATGGTTGGACTGAAGGATCTTGAAGGTATTTTCCAACCTAAATGAGTCCATGATTCTATCTATATGAAAGAAATTTGCTTTTTGGGAAGTGTGGTTTTGGATTCAACCTTTTTTTTCCCCCCCTTGTATTTCATGTAAGAAATATAAGTATTTAATGGACCTATTTGACTTGTTTAAATTTTTATTCTACAGTTAAAGGATTGTAATGTAGTGGCATCAAAACTGGTTCTGATTCTGGATGATTTGCTATGGGTTTTGACTGATTCCCAGTTGAAAGCCATGGTGCAGTATGCCAAATCTCTTAGTGAAGCCATAGAGAAATCTACAGAACAGAGAAAAAGCTTGGCTTCTGAAACAGCACAGGTATGGTAATTGATTGTTTCACTGTATCAGTAGCAAGTGTGGCTCTTCTAAAATACAACACAGTGTGGTTAGTTGTGTTAATTTATTTTAGAGAATGTTCAGTTACTCATTTTCATTCAGCTGTACATCTTGAATTACTTTGGAAATGAATCATGGTAGTATAAAAGAGACTTTATTTTACAAGATTTTGTGTATTGATGTTAGTTACAGGAAAGAAAAGTTGTATTTCTTTATCCATGTACAGAGTATTTAGACTTTATATTTACTTAACAGTTTATTAACTGTTTAGTAAATTTGCTCTCCAGATATTTTCTGGCTATGAATCATAGAATGGCCTGGGTTGAAAAGAACCTTAAAGATCATCTAGTTTCAAAACCCTGCTCTGGGCAGGGTTGCCAACCACCAGAGCAGCCTGCCCAGGGCCCGATCCAGCTTGGTCTTGAATGCTTCCAGGGATGAGGCATCCACAGCTTCTCTGGGCAACCTGTTCCAGTGCCTCACCACCCTCTGAGTGAAAAATTTCCGCCTAATATCCAACCTAAATCTCCCCTTTGTTAGTTTAAAACCATTCCCCCTCATCCTGTCACTATCAACCCTTGGAAATAGTCACTCCCCCTACTGTTCATAGGCTCCCTTCAAGTACTGGAAGGCCTCAATGAGGTCTCCCCAGAGCCTTCTCTTCTCCAAGCTAAACAAGCCCAGTTCCCTCGATCTTTGTTCATAGGAGAGGTGCTCCAGCCCTCTGATCATCTTAGTGGCCCTCCTCTGCACCCGCTCCAAGAGCTCCACGTCTTTCTTGTGCTGGGGACCCCAGGCCTGGACACAGTACTCCAGATGGGGTCTCACAAGAGCCGAGTAGAGGGGCACAATCACCTCCCTCTCCCTGCTGGCCACCCCTTTTTTAATGCAGCCCAGAACATAGTTGGCCTTCGGGGCTGCAAGCCCACACTGCTGGCTCATGTCGAGCTTCTTGTCCACCAGGACCCCCAAGTTGTTCTCTGC